GCTCCCCCGTCGTCCCCGGGGGGGGAGGGGCCGGAGGGGCCCCCACTGGGGGGAGAGAGGGGGGGGGGAGGGGTCAGGGGGATCCGGGAAAACCCGGGAAAAACCCGGGAGGCTGGAAAAACATCCCCCCCCTTCCCAAAATTCCCGGAATTCCCGGGACACACCTGGTGGGGGATCCGGGAAAACCCGGGAAAAACCCGGGAGGCTGGAAAAACATCCCCCCCCTTCCCAAAATTCCCGGAATTCCCGGGACACACCTGGTGGGGGATCCGGGAAAACCTGGATCTGGTCCCCCCAGACCTCCCTCATTCCCAAAATTCCTGGAATTCCCAGGAGTCACCTGGAAGGGGATCCGGGAAAACCCAAAAGTCTTTGGGGCTGGAAAACCAAGCCTCCCATTCCCGAAATTCCCAGAATTCCTGGAATTCCAGCCCCAAGGCTGGAAAACCAACCCCCATTCCCAAAATTCCTGGAATTCCCGGGACACACCTGGTGGGGGATCCGGGAAAACCCCATTCCCAAAATTCCCAAAAATTCCCAGAATTCCTGGAATTCCTGGGACACACCTGGGGGGGTATTCGGGAAAACCCCATTCCCAAGATTCCCCAAATTCCAGGAATTTCCAGGACACACCTGGTGGCAGATCCGGGAAAACCCGGGAACCCCGGAAGGGTTTGGGGCTGGAAAATTCCCCAAAATTCCCCAAATTCCTGGAATTCCCGAGACACACCTGGTGGGGGATCCAGGAAAACCCCATTCCCAAAATTCCCGGAATTCCTGGAATTCCCGGGACACACCTGGTGGATGATCTGAGAAAACCCCATTCCCAAGATTCCCAAAAATTCCTGGGACACACCTGGGGGGGGATCTGGGAAAACCCCATTCCCAGAATTCCCCAAAATTCCCAAAATTCCCCAAAATTCCCGGAATTCCCGGCACACACCTGGGGGGGGATCCAGGAAAACCCGGGAAGTCTTTGGGGCTGGAAAACCAACCCTCCCATTCCCAAGATTCCCAGAATCCCCGGAATTCCCGGCACACACCTGGTGGGGGATCCGGGAAAACCTGGATGTGGTCCCTCCCGACCTCCCTCATTCCCAGAATTCCCGGAATTCCCGGCACACACCTGGGGGGGGATCCGGGCCGCTCGGAGTCGGAGCCTTGGGAATTCCCCGGGATGGGGGTTGGGGGGTTCTGGCTCCGCTTCATCCAAGCGTTTTCCTTGGGGGGCGGGGCCGGGATCACCTTCGGCTTCTCCTCCCGGGATTTGGGAATTTGGGAAGGGGGGGGGAGGGGCGGAGAGCCCGGCTCCTCCTCCTTCCCCCCTCCCCCCACCGGCTCGTTTTCCAGGGATTTCTCGCTCTCCCTCCGCCGGGTGCCTGGGGGGGGAGGGGATTGGGGGATGATCCCGATCCCTGATCCCGATCCCTGATCCCGATCCCTATCCCGACCGGAGGGGCCCGAGGGAAGGGGGGG